GGTGGCGCGGAGGGGCCCGCCGAAGAGGTGGGTCGTGTCGGCGGAGAGGCGCGTTGAGGAGCCGGAGGAGGTCCGGGAGCGGGAGCGGGGGGGGGAGCACCCAGAGCGCGAGGTTGGTGGTGCGGGTGAGGAGGGCGCGCAGCTGGTCGTGCGGGATTGGGCCGGTGAGGTTGAGGTGCTGGGCGCGCGACGCGAGGAACGCGGCGTCCTGCGAGTCTGCGGGCGTCAAGTCAATCGGCGCTCGTTTGGAGGTCGTTGGGAGTAGTCGAGAACAAGGAGCAAGGGCTCGATCCTGGATTCAGGTTAGACAGCGCAGAGAAATGGGAATGGTACATACCACGCATGAACACGATGGGCCACGCGCAGCAGAGACGGTATGCCGTGCCTCAGGCTGTCCGCCAAAGCATATAGCTCAAAAATGTATCTTTCTAGCTCAGGAGGCAAGAAAGTCGTCTGAGGCCATCAGCCAGATAGTCCAAGGCGCAAGTCGTTCGGAGGATGGGTGTATCGCCTGTAAATGTTCTCGATTTATAGGGCGCGAGGCTCGAAATTCCACACGCCGCAGCCTACGCAAGAAAGCGCAGGGCATCCCGAATGTCATCCCTCCGCAGGGACGTCCAAGTCCCATTTCGCAGGGTCGACGACAAAGATAAGAGGACTCGAGCAATAAAAACACGGTCACGTGCTACCATCCTCCCATGCACTCTTCGAGGGTATCTGTATCCCCTCCCTCTCCTCTTTTAATCCCACTTCCGTCTTCACGGCACGCGCCAAGCATGGGACGTCGCGCCGTGGGTTCCCCGCTCGCCAACGCCGACCGCACCTCGCCCGACACCCTGCGCTCGCGACGTCAGGGTCCAGCATACGAGGCTTGCGCAGGCATTCCGGGCGGGGGCGGGGGCGCGCTGCTGAACGATAGCTTATCTGCCCATAGCTTGACTTTAAAGGGCTTCAGGGCTCGCGTCGACGGGTGGGGCTGCGGTGCGTCACGGTGTACGTGTGCGTGGTGATGGGCATGGGCGGGGGTGTACGTAGGCGGGGACGCGCTGGACGAGAAACCAGCAAGCGTCACGGTCGGCCCTAGTTTTGAATGGACGTGGATGGAGATAAACAGACGCGATCAGCTGATTCCGTGTCATCAGAGCACCTCTCCGATCCCATCAAAGTGCGGGGGCGCAAAGTTCAACCAGGGGCCTGGGGTAATAATTAATGGCGCCCAGGCCGACCGAGATTTTCGAAGCTTGGCGGTTGGCACCCCGCCAATGCGGAACGGATTACCGGGAACGATTAACACGAGCGACACCGGGACGCCGACTCCGACTCCACTACAGAACATTAAACAGCAACACTGTACTTACTCCGTTAAATTTACGCTTGGCGGTCACGTGTTCCGATCAGTGATCGAGCCCATATCGGGAAAGCGGTTCGCGAACCGCTGGCAGGTTCGGTTACAACCATCACGTGTTCGACGCGTCGCGCTTTTTTGGGACGCGTCTTGGGCCGAAATGATGTTTCCGCCTTTGTCCTCCCTCCTCAGTGTCAATTAGGGAGTGTGAATATTCGAATCATTTATCCAAACACCTCATCCTATGTGTAAAGGACCTTACATTGAGCTATGAAGCTTAATATCGCCAAAAAGCACTGTTATAATGCAGTGGTAGTTAAAAATCTGAGGCCCCAGTAGGACACATAGATCGAATTCATTTATATTAGCCTGAGACCGTACGAGAAGTACATACAATCACCTCCCTCACGAGCACGCTACATTGACTGCATAGAGAAGCTTGGAAAGCACTTTTATCTGCTTCTGAATATGCCGACAGGAATGATATCTCATCGGGATCATGGTCAAAATATAGAATCCATTGGAAGGGTCGTGGAGCGCAGTTGCGGCACAGCAGCACGCAGTCCTTCTCTGTCGGTGCTGCAGGCTCGTGCGACGCAGTGATGACGACGTGGACGGCACACGCGTCGCGGTCGCTTACTAGGTCCGTGGAGGATATGCGGCGCAGGGCGGATTGGGCGACACGCGCCTCAAGAACATGTACATGGAGGAATATCGCGCGAGTGAGCTACGGGGAAACCATGCGCACGGGTGCGTGCACGGGAAACTACGTGGAACGCTCGCACACGCGACCTGTGAGACAAGAGCCGACGGTACAACGCGAATGAGCACGCGTAGCTCGCGAAGATGTGCGCGGGTAGCCTCGGACGCAGTGGGGAAGAGCCTGGAAGAGCTGCAGATCTGAACTAATGGCCCGCCGGGCCAGTGATGGACACTTCTCACTCCTTTCGGGAAGTGTTTGGCCGTGATTGCCGGTCTCTTCCCGCCTTCCCGCCACTATTTTTGCCGTTTCCCGTTTGCAGCATAGCTCTTTGCCTCATTGAAGTGTGGCATATCACACTTAATGCCATTAGCCTGCCTCAAGATTTTTCTTGGAGGAAGAAGACACGAGGGACGCGTTGAATGAATATATTTAGTGAAGAAAGTGAAATACCCGAGAGTAAGTCGCGTAAGAACTTACGCTGGAAAAATTTACGATCTTTACAGTAAATATCGTAAATCGGCCCCACGTGCACGGTCTAGGGCCTTCCATACGCAGTAAAACCATCAGATTCGGCTAGCGAGTGATCGTGATTTACTTACCACATCTTACCATGTTGTTTCGCTCTCAACGAGCCAACTGACGCGTTTTGAGGCCCGGAAACCGTGCATATGTGCCAGACAATCAATACAGTACAGAATACAGGCTCAGACGCTGAAATCCCTTCGGCTCAAAAAGAGATTTTCGACCGACACCGTTCTTCAATCAATCGGGAGCTAGTGGCTTGGCTGCTGTATTCTGACCGGGAATTGAGCCACAGAAAATACCCAGATGTGAAGAAATGATATTTGAAGAACTCTGTAGCTTTCTTCTTTACTCAAAGGATTTCCATACACGGTAAAGCCATCAGACTCGCTTAGCGGGTGATCGCGATTTACTTTACCACACTTTAGTGCGTCGTTCTATTCTCATCACTCAGACTGACGTGTTTTGGAGCGCTGAAAGGCTTGGGCATGCGTCATATAGTCAATTGGGCTCAGAGGCATGAGCCCGGAAGCTTTTTTCCGCATCAGCCCAGCATGGGCTCTACTACGACATCGATCACCGGTTAGTGTTCCCGTATGTGTATTGAGCGATCAAAACAAGCTAAATGCACCAAGAAAATAATCTCAATGAAAGTGAATACTCTGAGTATTTCTCTCCAGTCTCTTTTTCCGATGGTGGGCTCCCGAGGTTTGAATTTAGGTGCCTCGGATGATCGGAGTAGTATCAATTATGCAGTCTCCCGAATAATCAGTTATTCATCCTGTTTTGGGCAATACACTGGAGACCAATACACTGGAGACCGAGAGTGACAATTCAGTAAAGTATCCATAAGATAGGTTACCCAAGTGTTCAATCATATTTTTGCACACTACGGAGGCAATAGGTCTTTCTTTTCCAAGTAAAACAACCAAATTAGTCGTGCCGAGTTTGCATTGTCAAACACGCGCGGACCTAAGTGAGTAAGAGAGAGATTACATTTACGCAGACATGAAACGAGCCTTGTTTGACCTATGCATCTATTGAAAAGTCATTCCCCCCGAGAACGATTCCGCGGCTTCAGGGAGCAGCTGATAGAAATCTTCTGTCTATTAAACTTCACGCCTCTTGAATGGCTTCCAAGATTGTCCAGAGACCAGAGGGGCATTATGTTGTACCCCAAAACATATTAGACCTGCCTTGGGTACTGTATATCACACAATTCAACTCTCTGAGTGCAGTGCAAGGACCTTTTCGGGGAATCTTACCCCAGAAAAAGGTATTTGTGTCCTCGGTTCTGTTAAAACATGCTCGGAGTTGGGCCTTTGAGTGCATATTATGCTTTAACCTTCCGCCGTCGCATATAGCGCGTTGATAACGCGTCTAAACGCGTCAAATTTGTGGCAGACTTGCCCTTTATTAAGGCACAAAGGTCTATATAAGCCTAAACAGTGGGCTATCCCGGTCATCTCTCTTTTGCGTACCTCACACAGAGTTTCTAACACTCTGGAGTCCCTACAGGAGTCAGTTATACGCCGGCTGGCGCAAACGGCGCGAATCTCGCACAGAGCACGAGCACGTGCTTCCCAATTGGGAAGTGAGTTGATGATGAGCCGACTCGCCTCACCGCCACTATTTACCGTGATGTGACCATCAATTTACTCATAACCGTAAATATAAACTTATAAAGAGACTTATTGAACCAGAGGTTGATCGTTCGCGTCCAGGCCGACCGGGCCCGAGACAAATCGCGCTTGGCATGCCCAGACCTTCTATGAATAATGGAACGGGTTCAGATGGTGTAACTGAGGGACTGACGACGACGGGGTACAGTAAACAGCGCTGGAAAGCCACGGTATGTGAGGCCTACATACATAGTAGTAGTAGTAGCACTAGTGCATCGCAGGTTCCCGTCGACACAAAAAGAAAAAGTTGCAAGCTACCTTATGCCTCTGGTGGGAGTCGAACCCACGTCTTCTCGCGAAACCATACAGGACCCTAATAATATCTCGAGACGATTTCCATAATCCACAGAGGCTGCCTAAGGTACGTAGGTAATGTACTGAGTATGATACCGTACCCCGTCCTCCCCACACGCAGGTTCCCGTCCCATCCACCACAAAAGAAAAAAAACACAGAGGATAATTCACATGCCTCCAGTGGGAGTCGAACCCACATCTTCTCGCGGAATAATGAGCTCGATATACAATATCTCGAGACGATTTCCGTAAATCCGCAGAGGCTGTCCAACTGCTTGAACTACAGCAGGTATGTACTATGGTCCTATATCTACATAAACAAGCCCTCCAGTTAGCCAGACCCTGCTTGCAATTGAGGCCTTGGATCATCTACACTTCGTTACATATGAATATCTAGAGCCCTGGTGTATTAGTACATACTTGGGAGGGAAAAAAGAAGGACATTTCTTTTTTAAGCCTCTGGTGGGAGTCGAACCCACGTCTTCTCGCAATACGTGAGAAGGAAAAGTAACATCTCGAGACGATTTCCATAATCTACAGAGGCTGCTCAGACATTGTATCTACATAAATAAGTTCAATTAAAGTCACCTATAGACCCTGCCCCATGGCCAGGCTGTGATTATAGATCTAGGATCATTGGCTAAATACTTGCTATTTGGACCGAGCCCCGTACTTGTACAAGGGAGGAGAAAAAAAGAAGGACAACTACTGTTTAAGCCTCTGGTGGGAGTCGAACCCACATCTCCTCCCAACATACTTCTAACCCTATTAGTATTTGGACGTGATCTCTGTAATCCACAGAGGCTGCTCAAATGTGAGCAGTAATGTAATGAGAATGGTACCATCGTAGTAGCACGAAGTAACTTCAGCTTCAATGTCATCACTCGTCCGCCACCAAAGAAGAAAAAAAAAATTCAGATCGACTGTATGAAGTGCCTCCAGTGGGAGTCGAACCCACGTCTTCTCGCGGAACAACGAGCTTGATATAATATCTCGAGACTAGTGTAAGCCCGTCAAAAATTGACGGTAAGAAGAAGAATATATCACATCTGTCCCTCTCCCTTTTCTTTTAGTTCTGGAACCATCCTTGCCTGCGAGCTCCCATTTTTTTTTTGCTTCGGCCCCATCCCATCGGACATTCATGAGTTTGAGCATTTATTGTGATACTTCACAATATACAACATACATAGGTCCTCCATTCTCATCCCGGCATGCTGAATCCCGACTTCTGCTAAGCTGCCGTGAAGATATTGCCCCAACCAGTGCATGCTCCTGAGTCCTGCCAAGCTCCCGGGTCAGATGCCGGCATGATGCCCTGGCGCAAGTCCTGCCAAGTGCCTCGGCACAAAAGAACCCCTTGAGTCCTGCCAAGTTTCCGGTCTCCCGAGGGCCGGCCTGGGTCAGATGCCGTATAGGATGCCCCGGCTCGAGTTCTGCTAAGTGCCTCGGCACGAAAGAGGCTATTCTCGGCGTTTCCGGCCCGGCACGAGGACTACCTAAGTGCCTCGGCACGAAAGAGGCCCTTCTCGGTGTTCTCGGCCCGGTTCGAGTCCTGCCGAGTTTCCGGGTCCTGCCGATTTTTTCGGGCATGCGTGAGATGCCGGAGGTCTGGGCCTGCATAGTTGTCCCCCTGCTCTGTATTATAGTATAGATGATTTCCATAAATCCACAAAGGCTGTTCAATTGCTTGAACTACAGCAGGTATGTACTATGGTCCTGTATCTATATAAATAAGTTCAAGTCAGCCAGACCCTGCTTGAGGCCTTGGATTGTCTGCCTTCTGTTGCAAACATATGAATAGCTGGAGAGAGCCGTGGTGTACTAGTACTTGGGAGGAGAAAAAAAAGAATATCTTATTCTGGACAAGCCTCTGGTGGGAGTCGAACCCACGACTTCTCACAATAGATTATACCATAGTGTAAATACCTCAAGACAATCTCCATAATCCACAGAGGCTGCTTAGGCATTGAGCTGCAGTGGGTATAGTCCTGTATCTACATAAGACCCCATTCTGGGCTTTGATAGATCGACCATCCGCACTCTGTTTAGGAAATACCCATTATTTGGACCGTGCCCCGTACTAGTATTCGGGAGGAGAAAAAAGAAGTATGTATCCTAGACAAGCCTCTGGTGGGAGTCGAACCCACATTTCCTCCCAATCATTTGAAAGCACTCACCCAGACAGTATTTAGAGGGGATTTCCATAATCCACAGAGGCTCAGGGCTCAAATGTTGCGTGGTAATGTACTGGCTATGGTACCATTGTAGTAGCACCACTAGCAGGTTCCCATCCGCCACAAAAGTCCAAGCATGAAAAAATCTAACACCAAGAATGAACAAGTGCCTAGTGGGAATCGAACCCACAATCTTCTCGCGACACAAGACATGGACAGGAACAAATATCTCGAGATGATTTCTGTAATCCACAGAGGCTGTTCAAAGAGTCGGTAGCAATGTCTTGTATCTACATAAGCCTAAGTCCCTTGGTGTACTAGTATGTACCTGTAAAATAAAGGTTCAACGATGGCACGAGTCCAGGCCTCTGGGGGGAGTCGAACCCACTTCTTCTTGTGTATGACAAGGACAACAATATCTCGAGATGATTTCTGTAATCCACAGAGGCTGTCTAAACAATAAGTAGCAATGTCCTGTATCTACATCAACAAGCCCAAGTCAGCCAGACCCTGCTTGCAATTGAGGCTTTGGATCTTCCGCACTCTGTTGAAAACACATGAATATCTGGAGCCCTGGCATACTAGTACTTGAGGGGGAAAAAAGAAGGACAATTTTTGGATAAGCCTCTGGTGGGAGTCGAACCCACATTTAGGGCTGTTCGCTGTGCCCGTCGTGCCGGTTCTACGGGTTCCGTGCGACGGGTAGCCGCCCCGTTCTGTCAGGCTTTTCAACTGCATTTTTGACGGTCGTGCCCATTGACAATGGCCGTCAACAGGTCGACGGGTCTGGAAAACACGCAATGCACGGTCATATGTGATGTATAAGCCTTTTGCAAGGCATATTTCATGCCCAGGTAAGCCCAATACACAGTTTAGGTCATACATTATCAACTTACTCAGTAGTTTTAATTGTCGAGATGACGGCCGTCGCACGACGGACCGTTCCCATCCAGGTCCCGTCGGAACGATGGCCGTGCCTGTCGATGGGGCGGCGTACAGCCCTACCCACATTTCCTCCCAATTAAACATGCTACACAACATTCATTAGTATTTAGAGGGGATTTCCATAATCCACAGAGGCTTCAGGTGGCTCAGTGATATATTATCTGGAAAGGTCTGGGCGGTACATGTAATATACAAGTAATTTAGCTATAATTTTTTTTTGGGGACCAATATACAAGAACATCTGCACTCTGTTGAAACATATGAATATCTGGAACAGTGGTGGACTAGTTCTTAAAAAAGAAAAACGGAAACCTTTATCTCCCGACCAAGCTTCTGGTGGGAGTTGATCCTGTATTTCCTCCCAACATTTGCAGTATTTAGAGGGGATTTCCGTAATCCACAGAGGCTTTGAGTGGCTCAGGAGTCGTGAGTCTGCCAGTGGTGTATCAGCTGGGACTCAGGTCTCAGGTCTGGGGAGTAATATCCAAGTAAGTCGGTTTGGGGGGGGGTTGGATAGTGCCACCTATTTTAGGCCTCTGGTGGTATTTGAACCCACATCTCTTCTTATGTAAATCCAACCACAAAATGGCCAACTATACAATGACTAGCCCCCCCAAAAAAAATATTATGCTGTGATTGATCGGTGCAGATTCCGCGTTTCGCGGCTTCTCCATCCGGAACGCCGCCGGCCCGGCGACATTTCAAATTGATGTACATGCCGTTGTCCTTTGCTCGTCGACACTCATGTCCTGTAATCCTTTTCTCCTCCTCTTCAGTGCTTTGGTTTGCTTTTCTACCTCTACTTGTGCAAGAGTTTGATTCCTCTTATCGTTAGGCTTGCCATCTGTGTTGCAATAAGTATGAGCCGACAGGCTTCCCCTCCCTCACTTTCCTACTGGTCATCTGGCCTGGTGCACTCGCATTCCTTCCCAAGGATGAGCCCACCTCCGTGTTCACATCCCTCTTCCTGACATACTCAATATACTACTCGAGCCTTCTGATTTCCATCGGTACCTATCGCCTATCCCCGACTCACTCGCTGTCGAAATATCCTGGTCCACTTGTCTGCAAGATATCAAAGCTATGGCTCATGTACATTGCGTCTACGGGATCATTGCACCTCTACATCAAACGACTTCACGACAAATACGGTCCTGTTGTTCGTATTGGTGCGCACTAAGTTTATCGTTTCGCAATCACAAACTTTTTGAAAGGACCAAATGAATTATCCATCGTTGATGAGTCTCTCATACCCTCCATCCTTGGCGTCAAAGGCATGCCAAAGGGCCCGAGTACGTGACCTCATCCAATCGTTTTACAAATGTATCCCCAAACTGTTTCATAGTGTGGGATGGGCGGTTGGCGGGTAAAGCCCAGTCAGGATCTGAAGCAGCGCCTGGTATCCTCATAGGCTCCCGTAACTCACAAGGCCACGCTAAAGCACGAAAGAGCTGGAACACAGCCTTTACCCCTGCCGCAATCAAAGGATACGAGCCAATGTTAATCCGCAGAGTGTCTCAGCTTGTTGACTCCTTGGATCAGCGGAAGTCCAAGCTCGATCTTTCGCACTGGTTCAGTTACTTCTCGTTGGTGGTTAAACCTATGAATGAGGAAGAAAATTACTTACAACGCTCATCAGCTTCGACTTCATGGGTGATATAGCGTGCGCCAAAATTCTGATCCACACTCTGATCTTTCCTGAATTCACCCTGCAGCTTCGGTGGCGGCTTTGAGCTCATGCGTGATACAAATCAGCGCTTTTTATGGCATACAATGGAGCGCGGTATGCGGTAAGTAGTCCTGATAAATGCATTGAATCATCGTTGACAACTCTCTAGCCCTCCGTCGTTGATTCATCAGGTACCCTGGTGCATCGAACTTATTCGATTCTTGCCAATGGTTGGTCGGGACATGAAATCCCTTGCTAAATTCGCGGCCGAACAAAGTACGAGGCGACTCCAAGAAGGGTCCGTTCATGACGACATTTTTTACTATCTTGTGAGTAGCTTGTGAGATCACAAGATTTTAAGAGACGCGATTCTGACTCTTTCCATGAAGATGGAAAGCAAGCGCCTCAATGCGGAGCCATACCCATTTCCTTTAACTGTCTCAAGTGCGTGTCTCGTTCGAGGTATCTACACGACTGACAGACTGATGTGAATAGATGCCGTGACCATCATAGTTGCTGGGGCAGACACAACTGCCTCGGTATTAACAAACACGTTCTTCTACCTCCTGTCGAATCCAAAAGTGTACCGACGCCTCCAGGCAGAAGTCGATGATACTTTCCCTCGCGATCATGGAAGCAGGGAGCCAAACGACGCTGCATTGCTGACGAACATGCCCTACTTGAATTCTGTAATGTGAGAGGCGCCTCTCGAGCATCCTCATTTCTCTGTTTGACACAAACACCGGTAGCAAAGAG